ACTCAGTTGCCCGTCAGGAGCCAGACAACCACAAAAACTATCAAATCGCGTTTCGCAGTCGAGAACCTCGCTTCGGTGCAAACGCATCCCGCTGCCCGTGCCGAGCTGGACAGGGTGTTGGCTATAGATAAGTCCAAGGCCTCCGAAGAGAAGGTTCCCGAGGAAGAGTTCGAGACACTGAACTTGGACTCGGATGAAGAGGAATGGGACAAGATCGACGCGGACGATGAGTGGGAGGTTGTCGATGATCCGAGAGCAGAAGTGGAGAAGAATGCGGTTTAGATGCGTGTAGCTGGCTCCTTGGGTATATCTTTTTCTCGGCTTACGTTGTAGCCTTAGATTAGCCTGAGGTGAATCTTGAACTTCAAGCTCTCATCACTCGAAAGGAACTTTGTGGTACGGTGAAGTAGGCGGTAGGCCAAAGCAATGAAAGCCAGGGCACGAGCCATTCGACTAGACTTCTCCATGCAGCTACACATTCCATCGCCCATTTTCATCCACTAGTGAACACTTCTCAACGTAAAATAACATCTATAACAATCCCCCACCGCAACCACAGCACTCAACCACCGAAGCTACAAACATGTCTTCTCCTCCCCCTCCCCAAGGAGCTGAAAGCCATCCAACCACCCGCCCCTACTGGATCCATCGGGAGAGAATCTCACCACTTGATCTCTATCCAGGAGGCAGGCGCGACCGCTTCGGAGGAATAGACCCAAGCCAACCATACCGTCCGTCTTCTCCCATACAACGACCAGCCAGCCCTCTAGCCCAACCAGAATCCGCTGCGCTACCAGAAGACTATCACTCCCCATCACTAACTGAAATCTTCCCCCCTTCCGTCACCGCAACACTCCTCGACCCTACCCCTTTACCAAGAACCAATCCAGGCCAGCGTAGGCGCGTTGTACCTACTACACTATTCAAGACCTCCACAACCTCCACAACCACCCTACCCACCTTCCTCGCCAGCAATCTCCTCCCGCTCCTGCCCTCGCACCCCCTCTACCCCACCCCAGGCACGATATGTGGGATCTGTCAAGACCCGTTCCACGCTGCTCACGCACCCGTTCTCATCACCAACACACCGCGTTGCGTTGACCACATCTTCGGCTACCAATGTTTGCGCAAGTCGCTCGCATCAGGAATGCCGAATAGCAATAAATGTCCACTGTGTCGGACAAAGTGGTTTGAGATGAAGAGAGAAGGGTTGGAGGATTTGGCGGAGGTTTGGCGGGGTGTAGAGAGGGAAGAAGAGAGGAGTATTAGGGAGGGGGAGGAAGAGGAAGTCCGAGTTAAGAGGAGGATGACGAGAGAGGAGATAGAGGCTGCGAATGCGTGGCTGGGTGATGTTGAGCCTGATGATGTTGATATGACACTAATGGACATGGTAATGCTAGTCGCCTGGCGGTACCTTTGCGACATCTCTGTCGGGCTTCTCAAGCTGTTCAAGGCAGCTTGTGTCATCATTTGCGTTCTTGAGGTTTGGGCATCAAGGGAGGCGTTCCCGTTCTGGCGTAGGTTGGAAGAGGCGTTTTTCAATATTGATCAGTAGTAAGATGCTTGTGAGAGGGGAAGCGAGGTAACCGAACTGTAGAGCTCATCACAGGGAAGATACGAGAAGACGAGTTCGTACTAGTATGCCATTATCGTTACACGTAACTGTAACATGCGCGCGTTAAAAATTCCATACAAAGACAGCCCATTCACCCATCCACCTGAACGCCGTGCGAGAAACAAATTATGCAATAGTGACGCTGCTTCCACCGTACTGTAAAGGGACTTTTCTGTACTCTTCCAATCACCCCTCTTTCTTCTCTTAGGTCTCAGACCACCTAGCGAGTGTGATACTGGTAGTGTAAACCATGGCAACGACACCGATAACCATCATGGAGATGTCACCGAACTTCTCCCAAGGACGGTTGGCGACACCCTTGTAGTGCAGGTAAGCAGGGTAGATGTACACCAGAGGTACACAGGCAAAGCTTCCAATAAGCGCGACGAACTTGTCGAGGTCGCTAGCTCCAAGGATAGCGATGGCACCGCAAAGAATGACGAGACACGTCCTGAAGGCGTTCTTCTTCCACTTGGTCATGTTGCTCTGCTTGCCGGATGCGCGACCAAAGATCTTGAGCTCAATGTTACGCATAGCGGGGAAGAGTTGCACTGGTGTACCGACGAGGACGGCCATGGAATAGAGGAACTGGACGGCGTTCACGAGCTTGCTGGTCTGGGGGAAGTTGGTGATGACCTCGACGGAGACGTTCTCGCCGAAGGTTCCGTAGCAGAGCACACCGACAGACGTGAAAATGACGGTGATGATGAGCATGACGATGTAGAGGAGCTTGCTGAAGTGCTCGGGCTCCTTCATGCTGGACTGGATGGGAAGGATCAGGCCAATGCCCTCAAAGGTGAAGATGGCAGACCCGATGGTCAACGTGAAGTCGCGAGGGTTGAATAGTTCGATAGATGGGTTGAAACCGCCCATCTTGGTGATCGATGAGATATCGTACCAGTAGATGTACGTCAGGCCGATGAGGATAAAGACATCGGCGAGAAGGGCGGCAGGTCCGAGCTTGGAGATATTTCGGATGAAAGACATGGGTATCAGAACAGCGATCTGGATGCCGATGAGCGCATTGGTCGAGAGGGGCTCCTCGGCGTGAGTGACAGCATCCAGGAACGATCGAAGGTTGTCCGCGGTGAAAATGAGACCAGCGCATACGAAGCCGATTTGCGAAAGCGTGATGGAGACCAGGATGAGGGCACGGAATCTCGGTCCCACAACGATAGAACCCAGGTCACCGTAACCACCACCACCATATCTCTTTCTTGTCGCCAGCAGCAACTCGAAACACAGCGCTGTAATAGCAGATACCATGATCATGGTAATCGACGAAAACAGCATTCCGCCGTTCTTGAAGGCCTTGGGCAAGAACATGATTCCGGTACCGATGAACGCCTTTAGGAGGGTAAAGAAGGTCTTGACTTGATCCGCATCACCCTGAGCTCTCAGTCTCTTCGAGCTCTGTCGGCGTCCGAGAAGTGGTCTCCGCTCGCCTTGTCCCTGATCTTCCTCTTCAACGGCAGATTCCGCATCCGACGAATCTTCATCAAGATCTTCACCAGCGAATTGGCCATACAGTTCAAGGAACGAGATGAAGTTTCGCGTAACGGGCTCCGAGATGTAGCTGACACGCTTGCTTTGCCGTTGTAAGTATTGGCGTCTCAGGCCGCCGGGCGCGAGCTGGTCGCGAACGGGTAGCTCGTCATGGTCAACGTCTGAAATTGACGGAGCAGGGTTGCGGCCAAAGTGAACTGCATCAGAAAAGGTTGCTGCTCGTTGGTGCAACTTCTGCCGTCTGTTCTGTGCCGCAATCTTGTACAGGTCGCGGTGGATGTCGCCACCCTGTAACCGCAACGATGATTCCGGCAGCTGGCGGTCGCCCGAGTTGGAGGCGGTATCTGCGCCCTCTTCTGCCGCTGGCGTCGCTGGGTCAAACTCTGAGAAGTCGAAGCTTGGGTCTAGATGCTGCTCTAGGACCCTGGCTTCCTTGGGGTTGGCACCCGCCGTGGTCTGCGGTGTATCGGTCATCGCGGCGACAGCTTCAATGAATGTTCAAACACCACAGTAGATGACTGGAAAATATCGACGGAGCTACGCGACTTGGGCGTCTGGTAGCTTGGGCGTGGCGGTGAGGTCCAAATGATGAAACAACAGCCAATCAGGGTTTGCAAAGCTCAAATGGTCCGTGTGCCTGACATCACCGTGTTGTGAGGTTTGGCGTTTGCAGTTTGTCGTGACAGAGTAGGAGAATGTGCGAGAAAGCAACAGCGAAGGTTAGCACAGGGGAGGAAAGCTACTTGAAGCAAAACAAGGGACGAGAATCTTCGAAGACGAGACCGCGACGGACCTGGGAAAACATGACGATCTCACTGGCGCCTTGGCACCGAGGCACCTGGGCACGTGTTGCGGAGGTTGGCCATCCCTGCGTCAGCCACGCCATCATTGGCGCAACAACCGACCGCGGCCGCATCCTAGGAGCTCAGTCCCAAGATAGCCGTTAATCAATACACATTGCCGGCAAAGCAGAAGAGCCCTTTGATCCGCACTTGACACGTTTCGTCACTGTCGACGGCAGCATAAAGGCTGGAGAGCATACTGTACGTGATGGCCGCCCAACAAACCCCGAAAATCGACTCACGATGGCCCCTCCAGGATTCGGGCCGCCTGGATACTCTGTCCCGCACCGCTCCATGCATCGCGAACCGCCCCCAGAAGGGTCCGATACCAACACCCGGCCCTATGCCATCTTCTTCTCCTATCTCTTGACATGCTTCTCTGTCGCGGTCTTCATTGTCCTGAGGCTCGTGAAAAGAGCTAGCGTGTTGCGAAAATCAACTACCGCACAGCTGCCACCAAGAAGACATGTCTGGCTGTTTAGTGCACTTGCTGTGGGCAGCTTGCTCACAACATGGACGCACATGTTCCAGTACTTCAAGGTCAGCTATCAGTCTTGGCTGATGTGGCGTAGCTACTACGAGCTTGAACCTGACCAGAATCACTGGGGATTGTGGTTGAAAGAGACTTCATTGTTTCGAGAGGCATGGGAGACTGTCATCATCGGATATGCGAGGTATTGGTGGTCACACCAGATCTTCTTCTTCGCATTGGGTCTGGGGTTATATCTGGAGCAGAAAGGTAGAAGATTTCACTTGTTACTTGACAACCGTGACTAACATATCTAGGAATACGTCGCGGCATTCGATATACCTGGGCATTCATGCTGCTTGGCCAGATTGTGGCCATCAGTTTTGCTACAAACCTCTTCATGCTCACCTTACTATTGAGCCCGCCGGCACCAGCTCCATCGTCATATGGTTCGCGCCGGCAAACTTGGCTAGGTCCATGGCTCCTAAACCTTTTCGCCATCTTCGCAACTGCTTATCCCGCGATGCAACTAGCAGATGAACACTACTGGCATCACCCTACACACTTCATGCCGGTGCTCATGGCTCCACACATCGCTTTGATGCTCTTGCCCATTGCACGCGCTGTTGTACCGGCCTCATCCTTCATCGAGGATATCCAATTCACCGACAAGGTCTACAGCTACATGTGGGCACTGGTCCTAGGGAATGCCGGATTGATGCTGGCATGGACTACCGCAACAGCGTATGCCTATGGTGGTTTTGTGGGAATCCAAAGTGCTCTGCTAGAACACCCAGCAGTGAGCAGCGTGGGATTCGATGTCATCTTCTGCTGGATCACATGGGCCTGTTGGTACTGGACGCAACCAAAACCTGCTTATGAGGGTGTATCGCGGGACTCGGCCGAGAGGAGGAGCGCACATGCTGACGACGAGCCGGCCACTGCGCTGGGTGCCAGTGGATATGATGGCGGAGCAAGACATCGCTAGTGTGGTGGCTTATCGGCTGCCGGAGTTGGTTATATGACGAAGCTACGTGTTGCGCGTATACGAGGAGTGGGTGTCCAGTGGTTGCATCATAGTTGATCGAAAGGGCTATTGCGATACTGCGCCTGTCGTCAGTCAGCGCTCTGATGTCGATAGAACAAGGTCCTCAAGCATACATACGGTTTATAGTATGTAATCGTAAGCTCTTACCTCACCCTAGGAGTATAGAGTTGCAACGGTGGCTCGAGAATGGCTTCGTAGCTCTGTTCTTAGTATTCTACGCGTCCGGCGCTCTGTATATTATTAGGTGCTGCGACCGGTCAGTTCGTATCCGGAAGGTGCTGGCGGAAGCGTAGTGAATCAAGGCGACCATCGCAAAGGCAGTATCCCGATCAAAGCCATTCATCTCGTAGTTGGTGTGAGGGTGTAAATCTGAAGCCGTAGACGATGTCACACCTCCGGCGAGTTTAGAATCGATAAGCTTTGACGCTAACAGGGTAACTCCGGCTTACAACCGGTCTGAACCCTTGCGTCATTGACGGAGAGCAACATTCTACCCTCCACCATCATCTTCATCGTACGAGGGTGCACAATTAAAACAATATTGAATGCATCAGCACATCACGAGCAAGGTCATATACGACCTCGTACTAGGCTTAATCAGCCTTCCAAAGCAGTGCTTATGATGCCTCTCATATTGCTCACGCTCACGAACACAGCTTTTTCGCCGCACCTTTACTTTTTTCACCTGCAGATTCGGTACTGAGCTATCGATTCGACCCTCGTATTGACAGCTGATCCTCACGCTACATGCACCCTGAGGCCCTGTGCGGCTGTGGCACTTGTGGCACTTATGCAACCTTGGAAGACTTATCCGGCAGGCTGGGGAAAGCTTCGCTCGCTAACGCGCGGGGTTGATCTATAACTGCCCTGATTGAGGAGCGCTGACCCTCATCGGGCATGCCGTGCGGTACTGCATACGGAGCGAATGCAGCCGACTGGAAGGGATCATCGTGGGTGTGGCAAGGCGGCCAAAGCTAACGGGTAGCGGAACGTCATAGGCTGGCTGGGGCCCGTTATGGTGGAACACATGACTGCTGCGCAGGTGGAACCTTTGGAGGGAGCTGCGATGAGGCTGCGCGAAAACGGCGACTACGAGGGATGATCGTGAGTATAAAGCTCGACCGTGCCGTTGCCGGTAAACTGCTCTCATCAGCTCCTACATACTCGATCAACGCCTAGCATACTTCAGACTCTATCATTGCATCGACCACCTACGAGATTAACCGACATCATCCAAAATGAAAACCTCATCCATCGCCCTCACCCTTGCAGCAGCTGCCGTTACGAGCGCACAGGATCCGTTTTACAACATCAGCTCTGCACCATTCTTCCTAGTCGTCACATCCGAAGACGGAAAGGTCAATGACACGCTAAGCGCCTGTCACGTCGGTGCAGCCATCGAATCACTCTGCCTCAGCAACGCTGGCGTAGGTGATAGCCCGGAACCCCTCGACGGCGCACAATTCCAATTCAACACATCCGTCTACTCTCAAGCACCAGAGGACGGCTTCGGCGTACCAGGCATCTTGACCTGGTGGTTGAACACCACCACCCTCGACATTCCCTCATCAGCGGCTTTCAACCTCGACCCAACTTCCAACCTTGCAGGCATCACTCTCAGCCCCGGAAGCGGAAGCGATACGACTATGCTCGCTTTCGACTCCCAGGACGAACTCACGTATCAGGGCTACGTTCGCGGCGAGAACAACACAGGCAACTACCAGGAATTCTACCGCTGGTTTGCTTGCGACACGGACTACGCCAGCTACAGGTACAACAACCTGGCATGGGGATTGGGTGCGGGCAAGCCAGACAACCCAACCTGTGTCTCGGTCAACGTGACGAGGGTGTTTGTCTAGAGCTGAAGATTGTGATGGAAGAATCTGTTCCCGTAATGGTTGGATGAGAAGAGGGGAGATGGAGGAAGGCCCAATCGGGATTTACGACTTGACGTGCTACGCAACTAATGCTAATAGATAATGACACTCTTTTGACATGCGCAATCCGTTCCACGTGTACGTTCTGACAGATGCCAGTCACCGTGATGCGATTGAAGGTCGCCTCTATGTGTATCTATAAGCCAGCGTCCTTTCTCCCTAGCTTTCTGGCGCGATTTACACCTGTACGTGCCGTCCAGATCACCGCCGCCATGTTCAAACTTGTTCCTATTCTTCTCGCTTTCGCAGCTCTCACTCACGCTGACGATGATTGCGAGTACGATTGTGAACCCATCTACACCATACAATCTGACCCCTTCAACCTCGTCCTCATATCCGAAGATCCTTCCCTGAATGGCAAGGCCCTATCTGCATGCCATGCAGGTGCAGCAGTTTTCACGCTCTGCCCAACGCTTTCAGAAGAAGGGGCTCAGTATCCCGTTGTCTTAACCCACAACACGACAGACACTGCCATCACAAACGTACGTCTCTCATACACATCTACCCTACTTTCCCCGCCAGTCCTACCACCCACCAAAAGAAACCCACAGTCATCATCTTCACACGCACTGACCCCTCACCCAGACCTTCGGCACCCAAGGCATCCTCTCCTGGACCATCCCCTACGACCCCTACCCCATCGACCTCTCCGTGCTCCTCCAACCCCAAGACATCGTCCCCTTATCCATTGCCCAACTCGCCATGACCTACAGTGGCGACGGCAGCCTCTCCTTCGACGACAACGACATACTAAACTTCCAGAATCCGATTACTTGGGGGGCTGAGAAACCAGGTATGGGTGAGTGGACGGGCTATTATCGCTGGTGGGTCTGCTTCACGTACTATGGGACGGGGTATGTTAGGCAGACTTTGGTGTGGGGGACGGGGGTTGGCAAACCTGGTAAGTTTGGTGCTTTCTTCTTTTCGGTAGATGTTGATGTTGGGGTGGTGGGACTGTGCTGACTGCTTTTGATAGATCCCCCGAGTTGTGTTAAGGTTGGGGTTAAGAGGGTGTTTGTCTGAGAGATTGCCCGAACCAGGTTCAGGCCTGTAGTGTGAGTCTAAGGCGCATTGCCTTCTTCGTCGATTATATGGTAGATGGAGGTTCGCGGCGAATCCGGATGTGAGGTGGACATGCGTCGATGTTACGGCTCTTAGGATTAGTAGAATGATGACAGGAAGAAGCGCGAGTTTTACGTGACAATCAGTTTTGAGTATTTCCTGGGTTAAACGTCGATTTCTGTGTCTCCAATGTCGGAGTGTTCAGTAGGCTCGGCCGGCATGCTGCTTGTTGTTGAGGCTAGAACGAGCCCTCCAAATGCCTTCCAGGAGTCGTGTGTGAATGCCTTCGGAAATAAGGAAACAACACATTAGAGAGCGACGGGCAGCGAGAGCTCTGCAGGAAGTAGTATGCCTAGTTGGCCCTAAGCTCGTGTTCATGGGCTGAAGCATTTGGGGTGGACCTCCGTGAGGCTTGACCCTCAGTCCCTGCCCAGGTGAAGCTTAAACGGTTAGCGTGTCACGCGAGGCTGGGCGTCTTCCATGTCGCGTACTCAACCCCAGCCTTTCTCTACACGCCCACAGCGAGATCAGCATTCAGCACTCTTTTCATCGTTCAATGATCCTATCGGTCGTGGCTCGCAGTCTTTGAGGCTAATGACGCGTCAAAATGCCTCACGACGCGGCTCTTGAGACCCGCGTGCGCCAAAACCGCCACAAGCCCTCTTGCTGCCAACGCCAGCCCTACTGCAGTCAATGTCTACTACGTCAAACCATTGCGTGGCTGCTATTGGACCCATAAATCTCCGATTAACGCGAAAGGCGTTCCCCAGGACGGATAGGCCTTCGAGATGGTCGCATTCAGCCTTCCCCGCGTAGATCCGACACAACGTGTGATGGCGTTCGAGGCGAGCAATGCCGTCATCGTGCTTTCCGGCGAATGTCAGCTAAGGTGCACCACCAACGTAGTGCGGGTGAGGCAGACTGTCTTGACCTCGTCTCTCGATAAGTACAGCGCATTGCATCAGTTGTATGCCGGCATTGCATAACATATGCTAACTAGCACTTCGTCATTCTTTCGCATCGCATCGCCCTCATGATTCCTACATTGTTTTTCTTCCCTTTGGCCCTACTTACAATACCTATAACCGCACAGTCTTCTCCCTCCTCCGCGTCAGATACGCCTATACCTACCAGTTCTACTGAAACGATCATCGATGTCTCCAGTACCTTTACGAGCACTTACTCCGCCGACTTCTCGAGCGGTCTCCCGGGCATTGTCCTGAGCACATTCACATCCGGACGGCAGAACGCCACCGCTACCTCGTCGACGACAACACAAGAGGTGACAGCCATAGTCGGGTTGTCTCCTTCGACCGAATCCTCAAACGGCACTGCTTCATCGACCACGACATCTGCTCGTCCAAGCCCGACTAATACTCAGCCATGCAATGGATACGTCGAGTTTTGCCAGAGAAGGTTTTCCAACATCTCTATGGTCGTCGCACATAACAGCCCATTCGTGAGGCCGCACAATGCAGCCAGCAACCAAGACTACCCAGTGCTTAATCAGCTCAATGATGGAATTCGAGGGTGTAAGCGCGTCATACACGATACTAGAAAACTCTGGCTGACATCCGACAACAGTGCAATTCGAGACCCAAAAACCCAACGAGACCTCCGCTATACGCCTCTGCCATACCTCCTGCAGCCTGCTCGACGTGGGTACCCTCGAATCATACCTCGCAACAGTCAAAGGCTGGCTCGACCAGAACCCGTTCGAAGTCATTGCTATCATGATGGGCAACAACAACGGTCAGGATACCCGAAACCCAGCGACAGACTATATCGCACCTTTTCAAAACTCAGGAATTATGGAATACGTATGGACACCGCCTTCGGCTAGTCTGAACCTGACGGACTGGCCCACATTGGCCGAGATGATTATTAGGACTAAGCGTGTCGTGGTGATGTTGGATTATGGCGCAGACCAGGAACAAGTCCCGTGGCTGCTCAGCGAATTCAACTATCAGTGGCAAACACCCTTTTCGCCAACCGATCCCGCGTTCCCTTGTACGGAGCAACGACCCCCGAATCAGCCAGAAGAAGTCTCACGCGAGCGCATGTACGTGATGAACCACAACCTGAACATCGAAGTCAGTCTCCCAGGCGTGAGCAGCATCCTCATACCAGCATACTCCCTCCTCGATGAGATCAATGCTGTGTCTGGAAACGGCAGCGTTGGTCTTAATGTACAGAACTGCGAGAAAATGTGGGCTCGTCCACCGAATTGGATACTCGTCGACTACTACAACTATGGCAACTTTAATGGCTCTGTCTTCCAGGTTGCTGCGACGGCCAACAACGTCACGTACAACGAGCAGTCGTGCTGTGGCACAGAAAGTACCAGTGCGGCGCATATTCTGAGAAGTCAAGGACTTTCCATAGCTTCATTGTTCGTTGGCGCTTATCTGTTGTGGTGAGTATAGTGCATGGCAGCTCAATTAGTCTTGGAGCATTGGTATAGCGAGGCATTTCTGGGGGTTGGAGTTGTCTCCATCTACCGTACCGCTTGAGCACCGTATGTTTTTGATCAATCTAATTGTTGTTCTTTGTAGCCTTGGCGGCCAGTTGCTCAGTGTGCTCGCCCGCATGATGGCTGACAGATTCAACTCGAGACGATATTGTGGTCTTGCTCTCAGAGATCACCGATCCAGTCGCAATCTGAATGAACCATACTATAGCTACAAGGGAAAGCATTTTTCAGCGAAAAGGTTTAGGAAACCTCGGCGGTTGCGCCTGCAACTTCCATCATGCGCTTCGAGAGAGAATGGGCGCATTGACCGTATTAGGAGCTCCGCTTTCCAAGACCTTCTCTTGACATGATTCTCTGCTTGGAGCCTACTGGCCTATTCACTTTAAGCGCTGACTGGACTATTTATTCGCCAACTCCTCCTGCCTCTTGTCAATAATTGCGCCCGCATCACTGATCAGCACCCCTAGCATTTTTTCCAACCTACATCCCCACCTACGAACGCTATCACCAATGTCGTCGGAAATACCTTACCTAGAGACCCGGATACTCGCTCTGGAACGCATGGCGATAGCGGATAGTGGAAAAGGAGAGTCCATCAACCGCTTCAACAGCTTACGGTACTGTCCGCCACCCTTTGACAAACTACGATCGCTCAACTACGGACCGGACAAGTACACGTACGACTTCGAACCAGCTCCTCGCCAGAACGACGCAATCATGTGGTACATTACACTTCTTATTCGCGACATGAGTGCGGACCACATCGGCGTCGCAGACATGCATTTCCGAGTAGAACCTACCGAGAGGTCACCGCCGTTCTGGCTGGTTTTACCCGACTACACTACGTACTGCAGCTAACTGTATACCTTTATGGATAGATTCAATGAGTTTCCCCTCACCGCTTGGGTAACCTTTTCCCCAGGAATGCCCGGTCCGACAGAGGATAATCTACACGTGAAGATCGGTACAGAATGGATCTTGTTGAAAGACTGGCTGCTTTCCAGCCAGACGCCCGCTGAAGACTTGGTTGGCGAGAGGGGCTACAGGGCGCAGCGCAGATGGTGGAAGTTCAACGGGAAGCACTTCCGGCTCGCCGACCTTCCAACCGAGATGCGCATGAAGGTTTTCGAATTCGCTCTCGGTCCTAGAATCTACCCTTTGACTACATCCAAGGACGCTGAGGTCCGTCTCGGCCTGGGCTTTCGAAATTGGCATGACAGCAGTCAAATCGATCAACGCCACCCTTCACAGCTGTATGGACGTGGGCACACAGTTACAGGGTGCTCCGCTTACGAGCCCAATCTTGCGCTCTTGTCTATCAACAGACAGACCTATGGTGAGGCACTTCAGGCTGGCTGGGAAGACACCCGAAAGTGCTTCTTCTCACCGATTCAGCTCAGATCAGTCCTTGAGGCGGGTACTAAACCGAATTATAACTGGCTCAATCATCTCATTCTTGACTTCACGATGTCCGATTGGTTCAGTTTCTTCGGCGTTGGATTCCGTGACAACATCAGTATGAATAACGGTGTGTCTCTTGGACCTATACTCTCCGCATTGGATGGACTGTCAAGTCTTCAGCTTTGGTTTCGAAGCCCAGACAACGGAGCCGCTTACTATCCTTATGGGATGCGTCGTGTCGAGAAGTCAATAATGGTCAGCTTTGTCTGTTGTCAACGTACAATGGTCGACTGGATCATGACATTCGCTTGGCCATTTGTAAAGGATCTACCAAAGGTGAGACTGGGTGGGATCCTGAAAAAGGACACAAAGGACAAATGGAATGAACTCCTCGCGCTGCCTGCAAAGGACAAGGATGGCGTAATGGACCACGCTGCTGAGCAGGCGGCCATTCTGAATACCCCATCAGCAGATATGTAAGCATCTGCTCATCTTCAATAAGCTTCCCTCCCTGGTTACTTGCTAACAATATGGATAGCCCACCTCCATGCTTTTGTCGCACGCCTTGCAAGACTAGACACGGTAACCGTTACATTTCCGACTTTCCATCGAACAAATTACCTCCGCCTGACGATTTTGACTGCGAGGAACAAGACGACGCTACTTGAGCGAGCTAATACCAGGAGCATGTCAATCATATATCGGAAGACCAAGGCATCCAGTCCAAAAGGTCCGTCGCAAAGCGGGATTACCTTAATCAATGAACCGGAGGAGTACACCAGATATCGTCAAACGCGAATAGCAATTGGTTATAGGATAGAAGGTGTCGTAACCGATCATGCTTCTTCACTGGACGAAGAATGAGTGAAGCTTTGGAGACTAAGATCGCAATCTGCACACATTAAACAAGATGAGTATGAACAGGAAAGTTACTTATCTGTTTACCACATTGGAACTCGAAGCTAGCTTCCAAGACCAGAAACATATCATCGAGTTACTTCATCATGCTTCATTGCGCCCTGAGAGACTGACAGACTTCAAACACACCTTCAACACCGCGTGTAGGTGGCTTCGCAAAAGATTTTTGCCACGATCTAATGCACCAGGTATTTTGACCAGCCGCTCTGTATGTTTAGTAGCCCAACTAACACGGAAGAAACCAGAGATAGCAAAGTGAAGTCTCCGTACCCGCCACTCCATTCCCTATTACTATTGCCTACAGTAAAATGCACAGACCGTCCCCAATATTTAGCGCTAGAATCACCTCCCAGTGCATATGCTCGGATCTATCAAGCCCTAGTCTATTCCACACACTCAACTACAAGGCCCATCAGCTTCCTCAACCCCAACACGATGTCCGAAATGGCTGCTTCTGGTCTCTCCGCGGAGCCTTTCGACCCTGACTACCACTCTCGGTCTGATATCGAACACGACATGGCTAGTCCTACTCTTCCTCGGATACCATTGTTTGTACCATCTCAGTATTGGAATTACCATGCGTATTCGCTCGTCGGCTATTATGGTCATCCCGTTCAACAATACTCGAGCAGCTTCGAGCTGACCCCCTTTAGCCCACCATATTACTCTTACGAGCACTGGCAACATGATTATAACACTCTTCCCTCGAATACGGCTACTCTCGACTCCGTTACCCAACGACTCAACCCTGACAACTTCCTCGAAGCCGCTGTGGAGGCAACGAGCTCAAAGCTCACCGCCACAGCGCCCGCCTTCGTACCAGTCAAGTCCTCGACGCTCAACGCAACAGCGCCAAGCTTCCTCTTAAGCCGCCTAGCAATCTTTGATCCTCCAGCCGAGGACGATCTCGCAAAGCGCCGTCGCAAGTACAATCGCCGTCGCAAGTACAACCGCGTCCTCTCCGATGCGCGCACCAACAAGATCACCGACGCGCTCGTAATGCTGCGGGACCCACGCGATGGACAAGTCGGCCGCTTCACCGACGAGACCACGTACGAGTTTAACAAGGGCTGGCACTTCAACGACCCCGTACTCGCTGAGATGTATCACACAATGAACAGGCCGAAGAAACACAATTTTGCTGCCTTCGCGCTGCGAGTCAATATCAGGCCTGTCAATGACGCGCCTCCGCTTTGGCCGCCTTACATGAATCTCTTCGATATCAAATCTTACTACTTTGAAATTGTAGAGAAAGACAGTGTGAAAGAGGCGAAGTGGGTTACCATTCTGCCGAGCGGCTCACCACCGACTGCTGAGACTATCCACGTCTACGAGACATACAAGAAGGAGTGGGTGTCTTTCGGTGATTGGCTCGCGAAGAACATTAAGTCGCGCAAGTGGGTCGGCCGCCTTGGCTATCACTTGCAGTTCAAGTGGTACAAGAGCAAGGGCAGCAAACGTCGCTTCGAAGACTTTCCAGCTGAGATCCGGGAGAAGATCTACAAGGCCGCGCTTGGTGGTGAAGTATATCCGCTGAACAGTTTGTGCACCGCTGAAGAGTACACCTGCTTCTGGCCCGATGGAGAGCCCGAATCTGAAGCTCAGCTAACGCTGGGGCTGGGCTATCACCCCGGTTTGTTTATGCGTGTAAAGGGTGAGGCATTGTTGGCGTCCCCATGGGATGAAAACCGTGTGCCGGAAGATCGACCTCCTGTGCACAAACCGAGTCTCTCGCTTTCGGCGGTAAACTCCACGATCCGCAACGAGTTCCTCCATTTCGCCTGGGTACGAATGCGTAGCCGGTTCTTCACACCAGACCTGTTCGTCCTAGCCATTAAAGCGTGGGCGGGTCCAGCGATGACTTACCAGCATCTGAGTAAGATCGAGTTGAACTTCACGAATGTGGAGTGGTTTGAGTTCTTCGGCGTTAGTCTGCTTTATTCTCCGATCTCGATTACTGCTTCTGAGTCAATGGGTTCTTGTCTTCAAAAGCTTGACAACCTCCGTGACTTACATCTCCGCTTTCGGACACCATATGACGGCTACCAGGGCAGCCCCTGGGGCTGTAGACCCGATAAACATCGATTGCCTCGGTATGGAGGAGAAGATTACATTTGCTGTCAGCGTACGATAGTAGACTGGATTTGTACCTTCGCGTATCCCTTCCTGATTAATAAGTGCAAGGAAGAGAGCTTGGGGGAGAGATTAACGGTGACGTTGACCGGTGCTGTGAAGACGGTCACGAAAGGGAAGTGGGAGGCGATCTTCAAGGGCCAGCGCCATCACGACCAGGAAGCGGCATTGAAAGTCATTCTTGACACCCCGGATGAGGAACTGTGAGTAACAAGGTACCTATGATTTGTGTCAGGCGTATACTAATCCTTCAATAGGCCTCCGAGATGTAGCTGTGGAACATTATGCGCATTTCATGACGAGAATCGTCACGAGTACTATTACTACGAGTCTTATTTTAGGCATGGCGATTGGTTCAATCCCAATACTTAGATGCGGGGCTAAGTGGATTGGAGTAAATCTATGATCAACGTAGAACGAGTCGCGGGATTCCAATGCGAAGGACAGCGGAGGTATCGTAGGAGGAGACTAAGAATACATCTTTGAGACTACTATGTGACTCGTTTGGTTGGAGGTGTGGCGTCTCTATTATTATTTCAATCATAAGATAACCATCATAGTACTCATCATGCCAAGGTCGCGCATGCAGTAGGATCGAAGGTGTCGTAGTGAACTCGCATGCCTATTCCAGATGATTAGAATGCCCACGAACAGTTCATGTAGCGAACATGTACTTACTGACTGGCAGTGGGACCCACTCATCCTTAGCCTCGCTCAAAAAGCTTACAGTACCCTCTTGGACCTCCCGCCTCAACGTCTCTTGCGTACCCGGCCCCTTTCTGAGACCTTCCATTCGAGCAAAGATACGCAGCTGGGTGACTAAACCAGCGACGATGATAGGCCTGGTCAGTGCTCCGTGTAGCCCGTCGATGAATGGTAGATATAGCTCGTGTGGACGGTCGAGGTTGATGTTGTCGGGGTCAGGAAAGATAGCGGGATCGCGAGATGCAGTTGCCACGTCGAGGATAAGGTCATCACCCTTGTTGATACCCTCTGCGTGTCGCCAGTCGCTAGTGGTGAGAAAGGTGTTAGGGATGCGGAGAAAGCCAGTTGCGGGTGTGATAAGGCGCAGAGCCTCAAGCACGTATGCGCGCAGTACCTCGGAGTTTGCTGGTGTGATGTCTTTCGCCAGTTTTTGGATGTCCGGCCAGTGCGTAGAATGGTAAGGTTCCGAGAGGAAGAGATCGATGATTTGGCAGAACTAGTAATGGTCAGCCGGGGCGAATGCTTGAAACGACTTGTAGACTTACAGCAAAGGTGCTAAACACGACAAGATCAACGGCAAGTATGACCACTAGAGAGACGACTTCTTTGACCTTTGCCCCATTGTCGAAGAGCCGTTGCATCACTTTCGCTCCATGGTCTGGCATGAGATTGCGCTTCGCATGTCGTCGTTTTCGGGGATCCGGAAATTGCACAGTGGGTGATGCTTTCATCCCTTCACAAACAACCTTGACCTCTTTCGACATTTCATCGCTTGCAACGATTGCATCCCTCCGGAGTGCGGCAGACTTGGCAGGATTGTTGTCTAGATGAACAAAGTGAAATACTGCTATCATCTTGCTGAAGAGCTGCTTGTCATCAAAGCTGGCCGTTGAATCTTGCGAGTCGTTGATCGGGATGTTGAACAGACACGCAGCAAATTGTGTCCAACTGCGAGCTGCCACGTCTTTGATCGCGTCTATTTCGGCCACTTTGAAAAGCCATTTGCTGTTGTTCTGCACGAGCTGGGTGGTTTTCAGGTTGAGGAAGTGCGCAAAGATTTCCACAGACTCCTCTGGGCCGAGTATAGCTTGTCGAATAATGTCTTGCTGTTTGATGGCAGCGGAGGTGTGACCAAGCAGAACGTGTGGTTGATACTCCAATTGCCGCAGGGTGTGAGTCCACGCTGTCGTGTACAAAGTCTGGTCACGAAGAATACGGAGGATCATCTTGTAATCGGTGATGACTGTGGGAGGCGACCCGTAGCGCGGCTTCTCATAGCAGAAATCTGTCTCGTGCCCGAGAGACTTCTGTCGTCGTCTCATCTCCACAGGCGTGGTCAGCGGGTAGTGCGCGTAAATCGAGTTGCCACGATAGTATTCGGGAAAGACTCTCATCAGTAGCTTGTACATGACACCTCCGCCATCGATTGAGTATTCGCTGGAAGCTGCGTTGAACCCAAAAGCTGTCAGGTGGTGCGGGGTATAGTCCACGGTGTAGAATCGATCACCCCGAATAAGAGAGAGCGCATGTGACACCACTGCTCTGGTCGCCGTCGTTCCTGCACACAGACCTGATCCCGGAGTCATTGGGGCAGTTGGCTCTTCCAGAATAGTTCCGGCATATAGCTCGACATTCTCAACATCCTCGTACAAGACTTCGAGCGCGGCAGCGACATCGGGATCGGGATGGATATCGGTGAACGAGGTGTGGGATGTCATACCAAA